ATTGAGCGTTTTAAAGAAGCGCTCAATAAGATAAATGTTTACATTTTCTGAGAGTACAGAAGCTGTGCAGCTTGATACAGGTGCTACAGCCAACGAGCAGATACTTGAAACTGTTGCAACCCCAGCAGCGGAAAGCGGGCCGTTTTCCATCTACATTAATAATAATAATGATAATAATATACGGTACATATTTACCACGGATCCCCAGAACCACGAGAACCGACAGTAAAATATGTCAACGAATAGCGGACTCTCACCGTCGTAACGTTGTTCAGACTGTTGACAAGGTCAGCGTCGGGCGGGCGTCGGGTGAGCGTCGGGTGGGCGTCGGGTGAGCGTCGGGCGGGCGTCGGGTGGAGCAAGCGAGGCTCCCGTGTAGCTCAGGCAATCTTCTCCATCCATCGTCTCATCATTTAGCCTATTACTTAACTTTCTTGACTAATTAACGGCGCTAAAGCTCACTGCAGGTATTTCCTGACTGCTGCGTATTATCAACGCTTACTAACCTTCTGTCTGCCATTAACTGTTTCCACTCAACAATAACACTCACAACAGTCAACCACTTTAATGACTGGTTCTCACTCTAGCCATAACTGCCAGCCAAGTATATATATGTTAGACTGTAATACAAATTGAGAAATTTGCAATTTTCACCATGTTCTATAATCAGGAGAGACACTAAATGAACTTTTGGAAAAAAATAATTCACAAAGACTAGGATGTTATCAACAAAAGTCACTGTATCACATTCACAGCTTATCAGCCACTCTCTGTACACTATCATCGTCACCATCATCTTCACCAGTACACCACCCTCTGTACACAATCATCTTCACCATCATCTCCACCAGTCCACCATCAACTCTTCCATAGTTGGTTTCTCCTTGACATTTTTTTGACCCTGTGACACGGGTCAGCCCTCCGGAGGTACTCAACCCTCTGGAGGTACTCAGCCCTCTGGAGGTACTCAGCCCTCCGGAGGTACTCAGCCCCCTGGAGGTACTTAGCCCTCCGGAGGTACTCAGCCCCCTGGAAGTACTCAGCCCTCTGGAGGTACTCATCCCCCTGGACGTACTCACCCCTTGGAGGTACTCAGCCCCCTGGAGGTACTCAGCCCCCTGGAGGTACTCACCCCCTGGAGGTACTCAGCCCCCTGGAGGTACTCAACCCTCTGGAGGTACTCAGCCCTCTGGAGGTACTCAGCCCTCCGGGGGTACTCAGCCCCCTGGAGGTACTCAGCCCCCTGGAGGTACTCAGTCCCCTGGAGGTACTCAGCTCTCTGGAGGTACTCAGCCCTCTGGAGGTACTCAGCCCCCTGGAGGTACTCAACCCTCTGGAGGTACTCAGCCCTCTGGAGGTACTCAGTCCCCTGGAGGTACTCAGTCCCCTGGAGGTACTCAGCCCCCTGGAGGTACTCAGTCCCCTGGAGGTACTCAGGCCCCTGGAGGTACTCAACCCTCTGGAGGTACTCAGCCCTCTGGAGGTACTCAGCCCCCTGGAGGTACTCAGCCCCCTGGAGGTACTCAGCCCTCTGGAGGTAATCAGCCCTCTGGAGGTACTCAGCCCCCTGGAGGTACTCAGCCCTCCAGAGGTACTTAGCCCCCTGGATGTACTCAGCCCCCTGGAGGTATTCAGACCCCTGGAGGTACTCAGCCCTCCAGAGGTACTCAGCCCTCCAGAGGTACTCAGCCCCATGGAGGTACTCAGCCCCCTGGAGGTACTCAGCCCTCCAGAGGTACTCAGCCCCCTGGAGGTACTCAGCCCTCCAGAGGTACTCAGCCCCATGGATGTACTCAGCCCTCCAGAGGGACTCAGCCCAATGGAGGTACTCAGCCCCCTGGAGGTACTCAGCCCCCTGGAGGTACTCAGCCCCCTGGAGGTACTCAGCCCTCCAGAGGTACTCAGCCCCCTGGAGGTACTCAGCCCTCCAGAGGTACTCAGCCCCATGGAGGTACTCAGCCCTCCAGAGGTACTCAGCCCTCCAGAGGTACTCAGCCCTCCAGAGGGACTCAGCCCAATGGAGGTACTCAGCCCCCTGGAGGTACTCAGCCCCCTGGAGGTACTCAGCCCTCCAGAGGTACTCAGCCCTCCAGAGGTACTCAGCCCCCTGGAGGTACTCAGCCCTCTGGAGGTACTCAGCAGTCCAGAGGTACTCAGCCCTCCAGAGGTACTCAGCCCTAGGCAGTGGACAACTTCCCATGGCCCAAATTCGAGTGTTGCAAATGCTGCACCAGTCTTGCCTGTACAAGGAGGTGTAAACACACCTGCTTTCTGTCATCTACTGGACACATCTCACCATTGACATCTCACCTCGGGCCTCAGGTGAGGACCTCACCTCTCCCGTTTTCTTTCATCCATCTCGCATCATCTAAGACCTTGTTTCTGAGAAGAGTTAAACAAGAAAAGCCACTCGCTAGGTGGATCTCTCTCTCTCTCTGCCCCCCAACACAAGTCCTTCACACTGCTTACCATTCCCGGCTCCTCCCTTACACCATCAGAGAAAGAAAAGGAGAAACTCATTCTGAAGGATCGCCTCTCCAACCGGATCCACGAGTTTTTCAACAGTACGATGACCGCTGATCAGTTCGACAAATACCTCAAGACGTACCGTCAGCCTGGCCCGAAACTTCCGCGTAAGTAAAGGGGGGAAAGGGGGAGGTTTCTGGTCCTCAGGCACACCGCTGACGCTCATGTTGTCGTAGATGTAGTTGGCTTTAGACGTACGTCGATGTGAGCGCCTGTTGGGGTCAGTAGGCAGTCTCTAGTCGCCTTATCATTCAAGCATGATGATGTTAACAAATATAAGTGTATAGTCGTTGTTTTAATTCTCTAACGACGCGGCCTTCGTCCCACGTTATCTTCTGACTACACACCACACAGCATCCGGAGAGGACTGTGTCAGGTGTCCTAGAGGACTGTCCCAGGTGTCCCAGAGGACTGTCCCAGGTGTCCCAGAGGACTGTCCCAGGTGACTGTCCCAGGTGTCCCAGAGGACTGTCACAGGTGTCCCAGGTGACTGTCCCAGGTGTCCCAGAGGACTGTCACAGGTGTCCCAGGTGACTGTCCCAGGTGACTGTCCCAGGTGTCCCAGAGGACTGTCACAGGTGACTGTCCCAGGTGTCCCAGAGGACTGTCCCAGGTGACTGTCCCAGGTGTCCCAGGTGACTGTCCCAGGTGTCCCAGAGGACTGTCCCAGGTGACTGTCCCAGGTGTCCCAGAGGACTGTCCCAGGTGACTGTCCCAGGTGTCCCAGAGGACTGTCACAGGTGTCCCAGGTGACTGTCCCAGGTGTCCCAGGTGACTGTCCTAGGTGTCCCAGAGGACTATCCCAGGTGACTGTCCCAGGTGTCCCAGAGGACTGTTCCAGGTGTCCCAGAGGACTGTCCCAGGTGTCCCAGAGGACTGTCCCAGGTGTCCCAGAGAACTGTCTCAGGTGTCCCAGAGAA